CAATACTATTCCACCTTTAAATATAAGAATAAATAATGAATTAAGAAAATAAATTTGGAGGAGAAAGGATTGTAAAAAAAGATTGTTGCTTTTGTTAGTATGTTCGTTTGTTTTTGAAGGAGTAAGTAACTCAGTATGTAAGTAAGTAAGTAATTAAGTAATTAAGTTAACAAATTGATTATTTTTTAGTTGAGGAGTAAGTAAGTAAGTTATTAAAAAAGCAATCTAATAAAAAAATAAATAACTAACTAACTAACTAACTCTAACTTGCTTACTAACGAAGTGACTTAATTAGCTAATCACTAAGTGAAAAGCGTAAATCAACAAAATAATCAATTTTTTCAAAATTTCTTGCTTTATCAATCGATAAATTAAGTTTTTACTATAAATCAAGTGTCAAACTTGTGATATTCTTGCACTACGCTATTCCTGTGCCTAAATCTTTTGCACCCTATGCACCAATACTATTATCGCTTTAAATATAAGAATAAATAATGAATTAAGAAAATAAATTTGGAGGAGAAAGGATTGTAAAAAAAGATTGTTGCTTTTGTTAGTATGTTCGTTTGTTTTTGAAGGAGTAAGTAACTCAGTATGTAAGTAAGTAAGTAATTAAGTTAACAAATTGATTATTATTTAGTTGAGGAGTAAGTAAGTAAGTTATTAAAAAAGCAATCTAATAAAAAAATAAATAACTAACTAACTAACTCTAACTTGCTTACTAACGAAGTGACTTAATTAGCTAATCACTAAGTGAAAAGCGTAAATCAACAAAATAATCAATTTTTTCAAAATTTCTTGCTTTATCAATCGATAAATTAAGTTTTTACTATAAATAAAGTGTCAAACTTGTGATATTCTTGCACTACGCTATTTCTGTGCCTAAATCTTTTGCACCCTATGCACCAATACTATTTGACCTTTAAATATAAGAATAAATAATGAATTAAGAAAATAAATTTGGAGGAGAAAGGATTGTAAAAAAAGATTGTTGCTTTTGTTAGTATGTTCGTTTGTTTTTGAAGGAGTAAGTA